TATTTGCATGTACCTATGGGCTTCTGCTATCCCCTGTGGCTCTGAAAGTTTTAATCAGCTTGTCGACACCTTAGGAATTTACTTTGCAAACTGCTACTGGCTATAATGGACTATATGCATGTATGTATACGTATATATGTATACGCTATAATTCCATCTAATGCATGGCATAGAGGTGTATATACATACGAATGTAAGTTAAGACTGTATGGTAACCTATACAAGTGCAAACGAGCTAAATACACAGGACCTCGTCATCGTAATTATTTTCATAACCCTCGTTATCACTTGAGTTGATATGGAATACACTCAGGAATCCTCTCTTAAAATAATGATAATGATAAATGAAGAGAGCAAAATAGCAGCAAGACCACAACCGATGCGGTTACGAGGCTAGAGTTTCAAACATTATTTTGAACTGATCTCATCATCTTTTGTGCCCGAGTTATTTAGAATGATATAGTCCAAGCTTGGCTGAGTCCGTCCTCGTTGCAGCTGCTTCTCGTCCGTTGTGTAGCTTGTTACGAAGTCTGCAAATTTTAGCTTATGGAATCACTTTGCATAACATAATCGTTGTCAGTCTGTTGGTAAGGAAATTGACCCAGAGGCTATCATTTTCTATGTTTTACTCCACGTTTCTCTTTTGCATGATGGATAATGGATGAGTGAGTGGCGAATGTGCAGTGCAGTTAAGAGAGAGAAAAGCCTCGCTCGAGCTTAGTGAAGGAAGGAAAGTGCAGATTACTTATTTGAATTTTCCATTTTCTGAGATAGGAGGAACAAGAAAGTGAAAGTAATTTCTCAAAATTGACAAAGCCGCTCAACAACTTGAGCTTAGCATAAAATAATGTGTAGCCTTTGAAAGGTGAGAAATGGCAACTTTGTCACGATCCCTCTTGTATCAGTTTATCATTAGTTGTAGTTTATGTTCTTATGTACGTAGTATTGTGTGTATGCACATGGATGTTGTCCAATCTCTTTGTTGGATAAATTATCATGTCTTAGCAACAATGCTTGGGTTGCGTGCCTCCGGCTGGTTAAATCTTCTTAAGACGTCATATTTTCTAAACTCACGTTATTTTTATTAAAATCTATAGTTTATAAATGCTTCGTAGATAAACCCGTCATGGAGAAAGATTCCTGTGAGCATGAATCTCTCATAAAGTTGAGAGCTGTACGTATGTACATATGTGTAACGTACATATGTACATGTGCACACGTATGTGTAGAAACATTTATAAAGTAACCAGATTTAGGACTAACCGCAAGATAGTGTGGGTGTCAGATTGAAGTTGCGAGTTCAAAATTGGAGGAGAAAGCCTTATAAACCTTACGGACCTTTTAAGCCGGAGACATTTAACCTGACCCAGGCTGACTCAAGTGTTTGTGTATCAGTGGTCATTAGTTTCAATCCTGGTTACTCGAGTTGGCGGTTGGCTGGAGTGTTCGTGGCATGATCATCACATGAAGGCACAGGCAAAAGGCTGACTATTACATGGGGACTACACGAGCGAAGAGCAGCAGGATGGTCCTGAAGGAAGTTAGAACGGGAAACAAAAACCAGTAGACTTTTAAGGATTAGAATCTAGAAAAAGCTGACATAGACAAAGACACGGCCATGTCTTCCATTTATTTCCTGCCTACTTTTTAGTCACTCTTTCTCACTTGGACTCTGCTCTGAAACTCTGGCCGTGAGTGAAACTCGGATTCGTAATCCAAATTGAAAAATTGGTTGTATCTCGTCTCAAGTCTTAAGAAAAGGCAAAGGACTTGATCAACTTGGTTGAAAACACGGTTTATAAATCTTTCTCCTTCTGACAGCTAAAAACTTGACCGACATGTTTTATTTGTATAATTTCGCCATTTATATTGAAACCATATTATGTACACTATAAAATGAACACCGGTTGTTGTCAAAACAGTCGGATTTTTATATGTACTAGACTACATATTTCATACCCAATTTAAATATTGCTGGTACCACATTCGATTACAATAGCCCTATAAAGTAATAAAGTTATATTTTATTCTGCAAGAAAATTTAACTGTGGGCAACATGTTTCTTTTTTATCCAAGTCAATTCGCTACTGTCTCAATCGTAGTCTTACAGATGTAATTGCGTTCATTATCAGTTACCAATTTTGCTTTCACCTTACATTTGAATTTCTTTTAAGATAGATACACCTCAGATACACATGAGATTTGGTAACCTGTGCATGTGTACATTTCGTCATGAGTGTTTGTGTGCGAATACTAAATATGTATGAAAACACATATACGATTAAATTCTATTTTTGACGCACGAGTTGTACTTCTCAATTTCATCGACTAAATTGCAAAATACTATGATCAGTGTTTGTAAATAAATATTATTCAGCACGTCAGCCAGCATCAATCCGTGTAATCTTTCTGATCTGAGTGGAGTTAGATGTATCTGTGCTGTCCAATGGTGAGGCTGCCAGAATAGGGGTTGCGGATGGTAATCGCAAACACGACGGTGCCAAATCAGCTTGACCTCACACTGGTCCCCCATTGGATCTCTATGGCAGAGCAGCCACATTCAATTTATTGATCAAGAAAACCACTCAATCTAATTTAATCTGAGGTATGTGCTTGGTTACTGCCAGCGAACCCAGAGATTCAACTTTCACTCACTCAACATCAGAGGAATAATAGAATAGGGCCCAACTTGGGATTGAAGTTGTATCGAGTGACTGGAAATAATAGGAATGCAATGAACAAAGTAAGTAGTTCAAAGCTCCAAGCTGAGCAAACAAGTACAACTTTGACAATGTTCTGCACAACTGGACTGTACATCACCAGGGTTAGAAGGACTAGTTCAAAGTTTTGAAACTACTCATCAGACTCTATTAGAATTATGTAGTGAATGCTATTATCCAAACTAACAGCCAGCATTTCCTGTCTCTAGATACACACACATTATAAACACAAAGTGCCTGTAAACGCATATGTATCAGGAAGGATACTCTTGTGTAAATGTGGAAAATATTGCTTTAATACAATTACACTCAAGTAGGTCAGCACAAAGATGCATTTGTAAGGCGAGTAATCTGTTGGACGTCAATATTTACTAAAATTAAGGTGTGTGCCATCAAAAATTAACACTCCCAAAATGACCATCAATTGGTGCTTCTTCTATTAAAAGATTAAAAATTTGAATTTAAAAAATTTCTTTAAAACTGAGCCCCATTGAATTATCTCTTCCTTTACAACTCTCATGTCTTTATTCATTTATGTGACGTGTAGGGAGCGGAGTTGTGAAGTTGGCGAAAAAGGCGTCGTTAAGCCACAGTGCGGAGTGACACGAAAATGGCACTTAGATATTGCAGAACGGAGAAAACTCTTGGAGTGAACGAGATAAATCTGAAGAGGCCAAAACCAAACCAAATTAATGGTTTCCGCTTTTGAAATGGATTTTGGACTAGTAAAAGTAGGATCGCAGAAGATTATTTGTTATCCAGATCTACACTTTGGTGTATGCAGAGTTTTCCTCGAGTATGCATTTTGGGAGTGCAAGCGGTGGTATACGGAGCCCAAACGGAGCCCAAACCCACCAACATCAGCATCAAAAGCACTTGATGTTCATTGCAAATTCCAGTCCGCAGTTTCCTTAATCCTTTCTCGCTGTCTCCGGTTGAGGCAAACAGAGCATAATCATCTCGTCGTCTTAGCCTACATACAGTGGATGAAGTGACATCAGATCCCTCTCGCTTATCTTGAGAATAATTGGACGGGGCAGACTAAGAACTTGGTGAAGTGATGTGATCTATATTCTTATATTTATTACATCCATCAAAAATATATTGGTTCCGATTATGCCACAAAGCTATCAGAATTGACGATGGTAGTAGAGAACTGATTTCTGATCCAAATGTCTAAATTGTATTAATGTCCCCCTAATTTTTTGTCAAAGTTTCCCTATTACCGATCCCAGTGGTTACATCACGGGTAGGGTTTGATATAATAAAAACTCTAGAAAGTAGACCAGCTACCACTTATTTTCACTGTCAGCCACACTATATGTACACTATACATACTATATGTACTAGCTTGTGTACATACATAGTTGACATTGGAAAGCTCTTTATTTTAATTCTCCAGGTGGAGCTAATTTTTGAGCTCTGTGACTGAGGTTTCCATTGATCAATAGGATGCCTTTCCGTGGTTCAGACGTTGGATAATGCTCCTTAAATAAAGGACTCCATGGTATAGATAACTCTTGAGTTTTCATCCAATTTCAAGTGGGCATCACAGTTCCTTTGATGTTTGATGTAACCTCACTTACTTATACGGTTTGACCACACCATAAAAGCGAACCCCATGCACCGTGATGGTCTTCTAGCATTAGGTGTACATATATCCATTTACTTAATTACATATGCATTTTGCGCAACTGCAGAGTTGGATGAACTCCGAAATTTGCGACATTAATCATCATAAACAGTTATTAAATAGTTTATTACTAAATGTTACTCTGCAACATGAAATTAAATATTTAAATACTGCCATCGAGTTTTTATCAGAGGTTGCAACAGGAATTATTCATCACTTGCATACGTTTTTTGTGGTGCATATTGTACAAAGAGCATAATTGTCAACGGATAAAGTAAATGATAATATTCAATAATAATTTTCATGTGTATATGGATGTATACATTGGTATATTGATGTATATATCTGTATACCTTCCACCACTCGCCAAAGCGCATCGTCACATTTGACCCTGATGTGACGTGAAATATCAATGAGATCAGTGAATATCAAGAAGCGAAACATAACTATGGTCTAGTTAGCTATTCGATAGTATGTACATTATACATAATATGCATATTAAATATGTACATTAAGCGAAGGAGAGTGGAAAAATCAGCTTATACACAAAATATACTACATATATACCTAATGTGTTTTAATTTAATCGACTGTTGTGAAACTAATGATTTTGGAGCGGTTATAAAACACTGTTCTATAAATTGCAGGTTTCGTGGAATTGGACACCCAACGAGCAGCTGGACGGCAATAACCATAAAACTCTAGTGGACACTTAAAGAAATGCAGAATTTGCCACATCAAGAAACGACCAATTCACGGTAATCCGGTGACTAGAACAGACGCATACAAAGATAAACTGTAATCCCTTCTTTGGTGAATTTGCTCTTCAAACTCAGTCAGCGAATATCTTGGAAATCCACATCCTCGTCAACCCTATAAACTCAATTTCAATCATATTTCATTCATTAATGTCAATGCTTCAGCAACAACCAGATATTCATGTCCAGATCCAACTGACCTCTTTTTGGCTTACAATCCCAATACAACTGTTCACAACGTCATAGTAGAAACAAGAAAACAACTTTTTTTGGATCGTTACTCACCAAAAATAATTTTGAAAGTGATTTGGTCTAGTTCCAGCTATATGTACGTACACACATGCGAACCAACAATGGTGCTCCAACTCGCCTCATATTTTTGAAGGATAGTGGATAGTTAAATGAAACTGCCCTTTCCATTTACTTTGGTGGTGCAGTAATAAAGTTTCTAACGGCGCTGCACACTCTTTACTGAGTGAAAAACTATATCAAAAAACAGCAATTCAGAGGCGTAAAATTACAGACACGTACATGAACTAAAACTTTACAAGGCAAAGGGCATTTCTCAAACTGCTCAAACGTAGTTGTTTCCTCCTGATCGAGAGTGAGAGGGAGAAAAAGAGAAAGCTGACACAATCCACGCAACCAATCTGGTTTCAAATGTTTTGTCTGATGGGATTATCGATGATTCTTCACAAATTTTTACTGCAAGATCAATCAAGGATGACGATGAAGAAGTGTTCTAACCGAGTACTTACCACTATCGTCATTTTTATAACTTTATCCCTCACGTCCAACTGCCATGGTAAGTACCGCAATTATGATTTTATCACTTTTACCCGTACTGTATCATCCTCAAAGCTGAAAAGCCTGCCTATTTATCTATTATCTGCTAGAAAGTAGCCCTGGAAGGTGGAATTATAAATAAACCATATTAAACTGACGAAGAGGTGAAAGTTACAAGCTTGCTCGTCTTAGGTCAAAATTTTGTCGAGTCATTTAAATCCGTGCAAATAATTAAAACCGTGAAAACCAGACTTTTCGAATTTTTTGCCTTTGATCTCGGACACCCGGTTATAATAACTTAACGGACCAAACCGTCGCACAGGCCTTGTCTATCAAGTTGATTCCCCATACATATGTCATTCAAAGTTTCATAACCATGTTACATAAATAATTTTAAGGTCATCCAGTGGACTTGACCTCTGTCATTACCCTTTATCCTGATTAAAAAGCAGGAAGCAAAAAGCTGATCTATTCGAAAGCAGGACGGATGGGCGGAAGGGTAGAGCCCATGTCTAAAGGGGTATTGCCCTTTAATTATGCACATAATTAAACCACTGTCTTTCCAGTACTGGACATAAAACTCTTTCCATCATGTTGCATTGTGGACCAATAACTATGCATCAAGTTTTTAACATATCAAATTTCATAATTTAATAAAATTTAATTTATTCATAGCTCGGTTATTATTTATGTAGGTACCAATTTTCTAGTTCAAAATTTTAAATTTCTATCAGAAACTAATAAAGTTGTACCGTGACCAACTTTAAATACCAATATTGATGGTTTTTCAACCATATAGAAAATCCATAAAATATACCTGAATCAAAAATTTAAGAATATAATTTCAAAAACGAACGTGATGAAAAGTGCGTAAAAATACGTAATTGCAAAATGCATGCATACTTATCCTTAAAATTGTTTAGTTTAGCTTTGTGTATTAACATCAACTTTGTCTAATAGTAAGCTGCAAATGTCAAAGCGAATGGCAGGGTCCTGGCCTATCTGTGATGGTATTAGCATTCCGGTACAAAATCGTTTGGAAGTTTTCGCTGGAGATAATAATAGTTCGACTGGCCGAAATAAATACATACACAACTTTAGGACACAACTGATTGAACTAATTTTCAATTAGTGAATCAAACCTAAAAGTTTAATTCGATCCTACAATTTTTTCCGACTCCACACTTCTTCCAATCCAATACTTGAGTTGCTACAAGTCTCATCCTCAGTCACGTATTTTCTCCCTTCGTATTTTCTTCTTGGACGTGTTCGAGCGAACAAATAAATTGACAAACTAAACTAATCAGAAAACTTGAACAAGTTGCAGTTTGAAATTAGCCAGTTAAAATTATGTAGTAGAATATACCGTATTTTACCTACATGCATACTTGGTTTTTTTGTGCATCTCTAAATAAATTGCAGTCACATCCTTATGAATGTTGACTACAATTAACATGACAAACTAAAAGTCGAATTGTAAAGTGCAAGGTTGAGGTGTATGTTTGTAAGTAATAGCAGAATATATATTTAGTACTTATACACACCTCACTGATAATGGTCATAGACAAAGACAGAGGATGCCCGAAATAAACCAAGTTTGTCGACAATGATTCTTCTGCAGCTATGTATGTGCTATGCCAGATAGCAGATCTTGAATTTGATTGGCTTCCCTGTAATAATAAGAAGCTGTCTGGGTTGGTTGAGGTCCATAATATATAGACACTCTTTCCATCCTTATGACTTTCATTGTTTTATGGCCACGAAGGAGAATAGAGCTGCTCCTGCATTGTCCCATATTCTACTTTCTTGCCACATAACCACATAACTGAAAGACAAAGTTAAGTCCGGGTTTCAAAGGACAGAGGCAGAGGGGAAAGCGACTTTTGCTTTCATGGGGGAATTTCCGAGGTGGGGAAAGGCAATCAATGTATGTAATTATTATTTTTATTTTCGAATTAAAGATAAGACAACAATCAAGTAAAATTTTACAAACAAAAATTCTCTATAACGATTACTGTAATTTAATTTCTCTAATGAGACGAAAAGGCATATTTCCAGCAAAGAGAAAATCTGGACGAGCAGAAGAATCGGGGGTTGTAATACCGAAGTCGAAGAATCGTACTCCCTCGTTCGCCAACTTCTCTCCCAGAGATCTATCATGCCCAGATAATTTCTCCACTTTCTTGTTACACATTCGCTGCTTTAGCCCGACTTGCTCGTTGATTTTCTTGTTCATTTTGAAGCCGAATGCCTAAATTAAGAAGAAATCATACTTTTACTAAATAATTCAAAAATCTCCCTGAAGGGAAAAAGCAGAAATAAGTACTCACTTGGCCAAATCCCTCGATTCTGCGCATGAGGGTGTCCGACCCCACAACCATTGCCAACAACTCGTCCTCCCTGTGGTTTGATGGACGTTCCCGAGGTTACAATCAATGTAACATGCATCGAAGAATCTGTAGCCTTGGAGGATGAGGTCGTGCATTGTTCCAGATTTGGGATGGTATTTATTCGATGATCTCTCTAGAGAATTCAACCCTAGATAAATGAGAATCTCCCGTGTCCCATCGTCCTTGTTCTTGATGATGTGGGCTTCAACTTCAGCCCTTGACATCGTCACCGTCTCCGGCCAATTCACCCCCACGCAGACATAGTCCCAGAAAAACTTGGTCCGCAGTTGGGCATCAGTCTTCTTGGCATAATCGGGGTATTGGGAGACATCGGCCGTCGTCTCGTCATTGACGCTGATATTTCTATTGAGAAATGGAGAAATATAAATAATTAATATCTTTTCTGTTGAGATTATCTAAGAAATAATGAAATTAACAAGATTTTACTCACATTCCAGAACTGAGAAACCTCGTGTCGGGGTCAAGTCCGAGATACTCCAACAACTTTTGGCTTGGTGCATCTCTGAAAGAGAATTAAATATTATTATTATAATCCTCCTCTCAACAATTACGACGACTTAATGGTTTTACTTACCCTGGACGCAGTACTCCGAGTTTGCCAAATTTCTTGTCGAACTCTGTCTTGTGCTGATAAATGCGACGCATCAGAGCTGGAATCCATGGAGTAGAGGGGTTACTGGCGATGTGCCTGGATCTTTGCGCCGTCAACCGACGGTATTCCCTGCAAAAATAAATGCGTAAAATTAATTATTAATAATCTCTTGAGAGAATTCATTGTAGTATTGCAACATACCTAAGTTGGACGACATCGAGATCGGCGTATCTCATTCCTGGGAAACAGGACATTACTGTCGGATGTATCCCGGTATCGTCGTATCTATCGTACGCATGTTCCAAAACGGGCACCCATGGCGTTGTGGGGTTGTCCACAACATGTCGCGATCTCTGCTTGGCAAGTCGATTGTATTCTCTATAAAAAATAAATAAATAAGATTAAGTATTAACAATCTCTTTAGAGAATATAAAATAATGTTAAATACCTCAATTCAACCTCGTCAAGGCTAGAGTATGTCTTTCCTGGGAAACAGGACAGGACGGCCGGATGCACCCCTATATCGTCATTTTTCTTATACTTAGGTTCCAGGACTGGAATCCAAGTATTTGTGGAGTTACTGGCGATGTGCTTGCATCTCTGCGCCGACAACCGTTTGTATTCTCTATAAAAATAAATAAATAGAATTAAGTATTAACAATCTCTTGAGAGAATATAAAATAATGTCAAATACCTCAGCTCATCCTTATCAAGGTCGGAGAATTTCTTCCTCGGAAAGCAGGACATGACGCCAGGATGTACCACCTTCCCCCCTGCTCTCAAAAAATCCACCGTGAGGGTAGGCGTTGTGCTGGAGGATGACGACGATGCAGTTGACGGGAGAGACCTCTGCCTTAGAGTTAAAAACGGCCTGTTTCACACAAAGGAAAACATTTCTCTGATGAGATAAAACTACAATTATTATTTATAAAACATCGCACATACTTTTCTACCATCACAGGCTCAGCTGCTGAAGGAGGAGGGTCGATAATTTGCACCTCATCATCAGAACTACATAAGTATAATTAAATAATTAATTGCACCACTAAATTCTCTCAACAGATAGTAACAATAAAAACATCCTTCAGTGAAACTTACTCAACGTAGTAACTCGCAGCAGAATCGTCAAAAAAGCCAGACGACGACGATTTATTAAGTCCCCCGTCAAGAGACTTCTCACTAAATAAATCAAGAAAAGACGCAATTAATTTCTCTATTGAGATAAAAAAACATCTAATGTATCAACGACGACAAATTACTTGAAAGAGTCATCAACTGTTGCTGGTGGAAGCGACGCCGCTCCATTTCTCTCCGGAGATGAATCACTAACACAGAAATAAACAATAAATTATGTAGTTTCAATATAAATGACAATACTTTTTCTCTCCAGAGAGAGAGGGTAACGAAAAGAATAGTTACTTCTCTGAAGAGGATGATAATCTTCTCGCTTTTGAACGACGGCGACGAGATGACGAAGTCACTGGAGCGTCATCATCCGACACATTCACGACCGGCTGTTCGTCAGCGTCATGTTCGTCCGAAGACCTAAATAAATAAAGATTAACAATTGTTGCAATAATTTTAACCAAAACTTCTCTCAAGAGATTGGCAAACACTTGTCGATGACAAATAATAATTACTTACTCGGAAATTGTGATTATTCTTCTTCGACGTGACATATTTAGATAGAATAATTGTTAATTTCAATTAATTAATTTTAAATATTAATTATACGGGAGAACAATTTCTAATATTTACTTCTGCTTGAGAGGGAGATTTTGGGTTTGGGGAAGTGGCTGATTGCTGGAACGTTTTGTCTTACCTTGCGTGATGAGCGATTTATTTGTCGAAAGAAACTTGTCTCGCTCGCGTCTCATGTTGCCTCTCTTCAGAGAAAACGTTTCAACTTTACTTAGTAGTTAAAAACAGGGCTTCTTGTTAGTTCTTTGAACATATTCAAATTTCAGCAAAACTTAAAGCTCGGCTCAGAAATTTAACGAAGTGCATACGCCAAGTATCACTCCATTCCTCATCTATTGACAACCATTTGGAATGGAATCTGTCATCAAACGAATATTTTAAGTTTAAATCGGTTCAGCACCGCACAACATTTCAGTTCCAACGAGAGAATGATTGAAATTTTTTTTGTTACATATTGTTAAATGAGATGAAGGAAAATATGAGATAGGCCCAATCCTATATATACACTCACTTTTTGCACTACTAAACATTCATTGTTGATTTAACGTCAAGATGGAATTATGATGTATGGGGTAAGAGAGTTTCTAGGGCTTTAAATGTCATAGATTTCAGATAGGATTACTCAACTTGGGAATTACTTTTCCTTTAAGAGTTTTTACTTTCCCAAACTTTCTTAAAGCCAAACAAACATTATGGTAGCAGCGACTCCAGGATGAGTGTTTTACCACTGCTTGTGGCTCTAGTACATAGAGCCTGTCTTGTGCGTATACATGTGTATGTATGCACCAGAAGGAGACCATAAATGTTCAGGCTGGACCAAATTTTCGAGGCATAGCGGTCTGGCCAACAGAGACGTATTCATCACATTATAGCGTGGTTTCTTGCCTACATACAGCTTCGGTATAACTGAGGAGACCAGTGCCACTCACGAAATTGGTAAACTATTTTTCGACGCAGCTTAATATAAGTTGGTTGAGTCACGTCTTCTTCCAAAATAGCGACAACTAAGAGTGATGTATTACTTAGGTCTTAAGTATCAATAAGCAGTCACACAACAAACTGATGACAGTAGCTTCCCATAATCCTCCACCTTCTACTTGTAATCTTGTCATCTTCTACCATCTGTCCACAATCAGACTTAGGGCACCGAACTCCATCCATCCCTCGAATACATATTGGGCATATGTGCAACATTTTGCCAACTTTTACTTCTTATGGCATATAAATCCATTTGGGTTTTCTCGTCGTTCAATATACAGCTAACAACATGATTACCTTTTTTAAAACATTATAATTCTCTTATAAGATGTGTATAAACCGAACACAGTGTGAATTTCAATGGCATACTTCGCATGACGACCTTTTGTGTCTATAAAAAATGTTTTATTTTGGCCAACTTCCCATTCCCGTCCCAGGAGAATAGATCGGTATTGACAACATGAAAAGATTAGCTGTCTTAAAAAAAAGAGATTATATTGACAGCTCCGAATTTTTTTTATTTCGCTACACCTTTTCTCATGGGGTTCTCCAGTTAGGAAGCGATTAGGCTTTGCTTACCTGACTCCTTTGGTTGAAAGGGGAACTTAAAGCTCAGCCCTAAAAGATAATATTTTTCCTCTTTCTCACTTGGACCGAAAAGATACCATCCGTGCTCAGCTTCCCGATACTTGCACTCCCACTGATGAACAAGTCAATTCACTATCAGGGAAGGGACCCGAGGAAGAAACAGAGAGTAATACCAGAACTTAATAGGAAAGAAATATAGCCAAGAAAAGGAGATGAGAGCAGTCAGGCATTTGTGACACACTTTTGTGATGATACACACAGATTGGATCTAGAATTAGAGGAAATACATAAAGCTTTTAGAGGAGTTGAAGCTGACTTGCCTTCTCAGTGGATTTAGAAGACCAAGCTACATCACCACCAGCCCCACCACCACCACGACGACTGCAGACTCTCACCACTAACCGAGGGAAGAAGAGCTGTACAAAAGTGAGTTCTGAATGGTGGCAAAGGCTGATATCTTGCTGGTGAAAGCTCAGAGAAAGTGCGACGAGGAATCAATCTTGATTACAAACTCCCTTTTTCCCGTGGGAAACACCAGAGTGGGGCAACAACAGCCAAAGTCAGCTTGTGTGGAAAGGTTGCCAAGAATAGCCGAAACTAACTCTTTATCAAAGGAAATATATTTTGTGGAGGGAATAAGTTTAGACTTGAAATATCCATGAAGGCATTTTCACAGCTTTATTGTCGACGGTGGTGCAGAGGTTGGTGGCAAATGTGCCATTTAGAATTTGTTACTCGTTTAGTTTTGCTCCTTCGTGTAATGGGAACTGTGTACATGATTCATATCTCAAACCACCACTGAGTAATTTGCAGATCAAAATTTTTGTCATTAATGTATCTGCATATTAGCTCTCTTCCACGACACACCCCTTGCTTGCAGGCTGATGGTTGGGCTGGAGTTGTTCAAGACGCATATAAATATAAGCTGCTTTTTGATTTATGGAACGGACGAGAGATTTATAGGGGAATTTCGGAAGATGATGCTGCACATTAATGTCAGGGTCACTTTCTCTTTTAATTTAGATAAATTCTTAAATCTGTCAAGTTGAAACATTTAATTGTTCAAGAGATTACTTGCCAAGGAATAATAGAAATAAAAGTAGATGGATTTTGCGTAATTGGTCAACTACTTTGTAAAGCTACGTCCAATTAATTTGTGCGTGTAAAAGTATATACAAGTTTTTATAAGTAGTTAAAAACATTATTATACTTCACAAAGAAAAGAACGTCGTATTTTAGCAAGTGTTTCTTAAAAAAATCACCGACCTGGACAGGTAGTGTTTCCAGATACGTACCTAATTTCGGGTACCAATTAAATAGTATGTCGGAAAGTTGCAATCATGCGAACTTGCAATTTCCAAAGCATCATTAAAAATAGCGTGATGATAATCTGAATCATGATGCATACAGAGATTTGCTGTAACATCCTACAATAAATACGTGATTGAATTAAACTATTCAAATTCGTATCAGTCTATGTAATACTTGACTAAGTTTGGAATTGCGACTAATGTTTAACATATACATTACCCAGGACGACTTTTTATTGAGCAATCGCAAATCCATCTTACACGAGGCATTTTGATACCATCATTTGCTTGATAGAATTACACACATGAAGCTAATTTACCAAGCATGGCGCATGAATTCGGTATGATCGCGGTCCAGTTTAGTCAGTCGTGTAGGGCTATCAGCGAGTAAAGATGTTTAGATAATCCCTTAGCATAAAAAGGCCATTGATAGCGTAGATATTTCTGCATCTGTAATCTGAGCTCAAGTCCTTTCAACGTAAGGAAGCGATATTCGCTTTCACCCAATATTCCGTGCCTCCATCATCCTTCTGCAGCAAGTCATATGAAAAGATATGGATTACTGACTCAGGAAAGCATGCAGAGTGGGAGACGTTGGAGAGAAACTTTTCAGTGGCACAAAATCAAGCTTTGTGTGCGGAGACTCGAGTCAACTCTTCTTCAGTGCCTTCACGAGAGACGCATTCATTCATCCGTCCATCCATCCATCCATCGCATATTCATGGATTGAAGGAAGGAAGGAAATAAAGATATGATTTAAAACTCTACTCACGCCTCTTTTCCCAATGCGGAAGAAGTACCCCTCTCTTTCCCCACATTACAAAATGGTTCAGTAGAGCAAAGATCGAAATTTGGATTTCTGGGCTTCCAGAATAATTCAAATTTCTGCTACCTTTTTTGGAACTTTACGTATAAGAGTTATTGTCATCAAAGGAGTGCAAGTATTCTTGGAGTAGTTTCATATCCATCCACGTGCGTTTAACATTACATTGAGTGCCAAGGTTGGATCAACTCTGCATAAGTAGTTTAAGAAGCTGTAGTTGGTCCAATTGTTCAGCAGGGGACAGATCAACTTTTTCTCTTTCTCCAACGACGCAACATACATTGTGCTGGACGGAGTGAATTCAAGCCTTGCAAGGTTTCTATTGAAATTGTGGAATTTTCATTTCCACACAATCCATTTGAAATATAACGTCAAGCAGAGTTGAAGAATTCAGCTGAAATTCTGTACTCAAATTCTGGCGGAATGTACACCAAGTTAGAAGCTTGTGAACTGTGAAGAGATTCAATGACCTCGTAAATGCGAAATCGTTCCAACTCAAAAAGGTCCCTAGTCCAAGCGGGTCTCTATAAATTCAGAATTCTATATAAATATATACTTGAACCACTGCTCGCAAATTTTTCAGCTTCCAAAACGCTGTTACAAAGCTTCCTACAGTCATCAGATAAAAAATAATATACCAAACACTGATTTGTGAGCCATTGGGGGGAGACTTCCTCCCCTTCACTCTTCCCTTAAGTTTGCTTCATAATACCCGTTGGCCCTTACGGAATTCCTTCGTCTCTTACCAACCACTAACAGGAGAGAGACAGCGAGAGAGCGACCGTATTCGTTTTTGCAGAACTCATCGAACTCAACACAGTTGGAAAGAATGTTTGCACAAAGTTTCTTTTCTATTGTTGATTGCAAAGAAAATTGTGAACAAACATTGCAAACCATGGCAGATTTTCCCCCTTAAACTGGGATAATATTTGCTGAATAGAAACGGGACCGCAAAGAGGAAAGG